ACCCACTGCACCAAACAAAAGCATTGAAGCTTATTTATAGTTAATTTTGACATCTTATTATGTGCATATTATATCTAAAATGCTGTATAAACAATCACGGCCCTACCAAGCATGAAACGCTTTGGTGTCTCACAGTATTGCTTTGCCAACTTTTAACACAATTAAGGCTATTTACGTTGTTTTCTGTCATTCAAAATAAGCAGACATTTACTCTTTTTCATTTTCTTCAGTTTGCACCATGTAAACTGACACGAACTAGTATTTTAGAATTGAGTATAAAATTAACATAACAAATTGTACAGCAAGACCTGACTAAACAGTCCGATTGTGTTACAGTTTTATGTGATGACAAGTATAAGTACTTTGGTTAATGGCGTGACATTTTTAAAGCTCCTGTAGAACATTAGTCATTCACCTGAAATTATGGTAACTATATATATTTTGTATGTTTGTTTGTTTTTGAAGTTCGCGCAAAGCTATCTGTGCTAGCCGTCCCTAATTTAGCAGTGTAAGACTAGAGGGAAGGCAGCTAGTCATTACCACCCACCGCCAACTCTTGGGATACTCTTTTACCAACGATTGGCCGTATCATTATAACACCCCCACGGCTGAAAGTGCGAGCATGTTTGGTGGGACGGGGATTCCGAACTCGCGACTCTCAGATTGCTAGTCGAGCGCCCTAACCACCTGGCCATGCCGGGCCTAGATTTTATATACTCGTTCAAGACTTAAGGACAAAGAACAAGTCATAAACCATAAGAAGAGTCGAAGTAATATAACTGTTAATAAATGCACAACACATGTAATGTGTTATGCATCTTTAATCATTTAATGTAAAAACTTCAGATGTGACCTCATAGATTAAGGCATTTCATTTCATTTTTTTTTCAAAGGTATTGTTCGAGTAATTTAAAATAACTGTTGAAAACTTTATATACATCCCCTGGTGAGACAGCAGTAAGTTTACGGACTTACAACGCAAAAAACCGGGGTTCGATTCCCCTCGGTTGGTGCAAAAAATAGTCCAATTTGGATTTGCTCGAAAACAAACAAACTTTATACACCAACTAGATGGAAAACTTTAAGAACTTTTGACGAAAACTTAAGGATCTACTCTTGAAATAACTATGATTTACGTAGCTAAAACTACTTCGAGTTTTTAATATATTAACATAAATATTTCTCATATTTATCATCAGTTTATCTTCATAAACATATGCGTCTCAACATCGAAACTTGCCAGTTTATAAAATCATTCGTTGTTTTAGTTCCTTTAGGAAATCGTATGTTTGAAATTTAAATAATCCATAACAATCTCTAAGATTAAACCTACTTTGGGTAGAAGAGTTTTAATGTTTCAACGTAGATCAGTAGGATTACTTCGCGTACACATTCAAAGTTATTTAATTTTATCTCATCCTACAGAATGACGCTGGACTTTAAAGGAATAAATATTGATATTAATAGGTTTTTCTGGTTTATATTTCCATTTATGTATTCAACGCTCCTTTCAGTGTTTATTAAAACTGGCAGAGAACCTAAACAAGCAAAGCAATATCAGAAAGCATAACATTTATTATCTGGTTTGTTTGTTTCGAATTTCGCGCAAAGCTACACGAGGGCTATCTGCGCTAGGCATCCCTAATTTAGCAGTGAAAGACCATCCACCGCCAACTTTTGGGCTACTCTTTTATCAAATAATAGTGGGCTTGACCGTCACATTATAACGCCCCCACGGCTGAAAAGGCGAGTATGTTTGGTGGGACGGAGATTCAAACCCGCGACCGTTAGATTATGAGCCAAGTGCCCTAACCACCTGGCCATGCTAGGCCTAGTATTAGCTGAAAACGATCTCGTACTCGGATTTTGGTTTAAAACCGGACTAGTGTTTGGTACATTTATTGTATTAAAGTACACACATTTCTTCATTATTAAACGAAGCTACAATAAACGTTTAAATGCAGGGTCGTATTTGTAATATGACAAACAAACACACACTTCTATAGAACTGATAATATATTTTTCATATAATGTGAAAAAGTATAAAAATTCTCAAAATAATTTATATTACAACAAAAGATGTCGCCCGGTTTGCAAGACAATGAAATTACAATGCAAAAATCCAGCCGGGGTTCGATTACCCGCGCTAGACAGAGTGTAGACAGCCCATTACGTAACTTTGCGCTAAGAAAACAATAAACTACAACAAAAGACATATTTTTTCTTAGTAGTTTACATTTGAGTCTTCGAATTTACAACCAGAAGAATAAAATAACTTTTTCAGATTTGCCAATCTGACTTTTCAAGTGTTTGGCTAATTCGATTAAATACCCAATGTTATACAAATTCGGAGCTAGTAACCAATCTTCACTCTAATTAGATGACCATTTTGTTTACTTGCCGCTTATACAACCTTAGGGCTTACCTTTCCACATACTAACGGAAAACATGCTCCAAAACATCCTACCCTCAAACTTTACTTTTCCTAGTAAGTTTATTTGTAAAGCGATCCAGAAAAACAACAACTTTGAACCATCTTTAGAGCAATCAACAGTCATGGTTCCTTTTGGTAAGTTAAAAGATAATGTACAATGATTAACCGATAACTTTAGAAGATGTAGTGCAAAATGACTTAGAACATATGGAATTGGAAGATAATTCAAGTTATTTTTGACAGAAGTTCTAAAAATATTTTTTCATACTTCTGAGTTACCTTTTCTGTGTTAAAGTCTCTAGAGACTGTTAGTAAGTTCTTCTCATGATATATTTTTCTTAGAAGCACTCCAATATATATATATATATATATATATAGACCAAAAATATCCTATAAAGACTGCAACAAAAGAATCAAAGAACACGCTTCAAAGATGAAAACGTTTTGTTGTGTATCACATATATATCTGACTTACAGAACTTTAAGTATAATTTAACAATGTTAACATTATATATTTATATAAACAATGTGGCTTTATAATATTTAAGACCATTGAAAACTATTGGCAGGATGAGTACAAAGAAAAATTTTATTCCGTAATTTCAGTTAATGTTTTACGAAATTTTAAAATTTATTAAAATTGATAATTAAATATTATTGTTTGTTTGTTTGAAGTTAAGCACAAAGCTACACGATGGGATACCTGTGCACTGCCCACCACGGGTATCGAAACCCGGTTCCTAGCGTTGTAAGTCTGCAGACATACCGCTGTGCCACTGGGGTGCCAATTAAATATTAATCAGAGGATTAAAGTAACATTCCCTCTGATAACGAAATGTGCATATTCAGTTTATAATGTGTATATTTGATGTTTTGAAACTTTGAAATAATTAATTGTTTAATTTCTGTAGTGCATATTTGTGTATAGAAGACATATTAATGCTAGAAATAAACGACCTTATAACACCAAAACGTTGTTTTTATTTAATTAGAACCTCAAAGTTTGAGGCTTTTTACTGCAGTTCCGGTTTGTGTTTTTCTGAACGCTCCTGAAGAAGCTGTAAAGCAAAACGTTTAGTATCTAATTAAATAATAACATCATTTTGGTGTTATAAGGTCGTCTATTTCTAGTATTAATTTGAAATAATTAAGTTATCATGAAGATGCAGCAGTTAATGCAGAAATAGCAGTCTCAATACTGGTACATTTACCCTATATTTAAATAACATTTGAGTACAAAGAGTATTTTAGTAATTATTAGTTGAAGTTGTAACTTACTCCGTGTAAAGGAAGCTGTATTTTATTTGGTTATGTTGTTAATATTCCCAAATAATTACGTTGTTAATATTCCCAAATAATTACGTTGTTAATATTCCCCAATAATTATGTTATTAATATCCCCAAATAATTATGTTGGTAATACTCCCAAATAGTTATGTTGTTAATATTCCCAAATAATTATGTAGTTAATATTCCCAAATAATTATGTTGTTAATATTCCCAAATAATTATATTGTTAATATGCCCAAATAATAAGAACACAATGTCAATAACCTTAGTGTGTGTTCTGCGATGAACTCTTTTCCTCAAAATACATAAATAATCATGTTTCCCATTCTCGATTAACTCACTTCATTCACTATATTTTATCTCACAACCTTCAAAGTTGCCTTATGAGGAAATGAAACGTTTCTTAATAAACTAGTCGAGGCAGCAGTGTAGTTTTATTAACCATGTGGCATCTCTTTCCTTAAGAAAGTTTTATAGTGGAGTATTTTTATCTTCTTTAATAAAACGTGCTCCGCATTGTATTAGCTACACCTTAAGGGAGTTCCGTAGTGTATATGTTTCACTGAGAAAAATTGGTTTGTTCCGCATATTCTCGCGCTTCTACATAATGGCTATCTGCGCTATTCGTCCCTAATTTTGAACTGATAGAGGTAGCTAGTCAACAGCACCTACCCCTAATTCTCTACTCTAATCGAATAGTGGGATTTGACATATACTATTACAACACACTCACGGACCCAGAATACAGTGTTCGACAAGTTTTATTTTCTTCCTCTTTTTTTTTTTTTTTTTTTTTGTTGCGGCAAACAAAGCAACCCATAGGTCCTCTGATCCACAGTCTTCCACACTAACTACTTTGGCCACGCCCGGTAGCTCTGAGAAAGATTCTGAAATGCATTATTTATAAGCAAAAATAAATCTCTAAAGTATCTTTCTATATGTTTATTAAATTATTTTCTACAGCTTGAGACACCTCACTGATACATCTAATATTTCTAAAATAGCTATATAGCCTATTGTAGCAAAGATATTTTTAAATGGTTTCTTCCTTACTATGAAGGTGTCTGTGGAAAAAAAAAAGTTACGTAGTGAATCTTTAACTAAGAGTGGTTCTATAGTGAATTTTTAAAAAAGTATAATGTTATATTTAATATTTAACTATAAGGTTTCTGGTGAATATTTAACCAAGGAGATTGTCTAGTAAATCTTTAATAACCAGGTTCTCTAGGGAATTCTTCATTTGAATGAAATTTGCATCTGATCATTTAAGACTTACCCTACTGTACAGGTTTGCTGCATATAGAAGGTCGAATGGTAAGGCAGCAAAGAGATCGACAATGAACCAGCTACGAACATAATGTACAGCAATTGATTTTGATTTTGCTACAACTTCTCCTTTTCTGCTCACAAAAGTTGTGCGAAAGTTGATGGCAATGTCTGTGAGAAAACCAGAGAATCCGATAGTAACACGAAGAAGGCAAAACTGAGTACTTAGAAAGCAAAATAAAATTAATGTTTCATTTTATAAACGAAATATGTTTATGATAACTCTTTCTCGTTTTAAAATAACTTTAATGAACAATAATTCTTATACGATAAATTTAAAAATGAAAATAATTATTGTACAAAAAATATCCAATACATTTCTAAACAGTAGTATGTAAAAAAAAATGTTTTCGAAAACTTTAAATATACTTAAAATCAGTATTAAATACAGAAAATAATGATTTAGCAACATCAATTTTAAGACAGATTCACCAAACTTGTGAATATTTAATATTACGCAGTTGTAATATATGGACAAAAAATACATTCTCACATTATAAAAAACTATTGTGACATTTTGATCGTGAAACAATCGCGTTTAAAAAAAAATATAAATCAGATGAAGTAAACAAATATAATTTGGCAGGATATAGTTTTGGCTTTAATGAATTATTCTGTCTGCTTTTAAAGAGTGGCGATTGAAGTAAGGCTAAAAAACATTTTCATTTCTGAATAAAATATGACAAACTAATTTGTTTGTTTTCGAATTTCGCGCAAAGCTACACGAGGGTTATCTGCGCTAGCCGTCTCTAATTTAGCACTGAAGGCTGCTAGTCATCACCACCCACCGCCAACTCTTGGGCTACTCTCTTATCAACGAATAGTGCGATTGACCGTCAAATTATAACGCCCTCACGGCTGAAAGGGCGAGCTTGCCGGGCCAGGATGAACTAACTGAAATTCACATCTGTTTGTTGACATCTGTTATTAAATTACCGAAACAATAATAATCTAGACAGTTCTTAAGCTCATATGATGAAGAGTATCTACATATTTTGTACTTTAAGTAACTTCTAATATTTCAATAAATAACACATTATTTCTTTTATATAAGCTAACTCTTCTTTAGTTATGTGTTGTATTCCTCTTGTAATGCCCTCGATATCACAGAAGAAGATAAATCCCTACAGTTGTTATTAAGCACAAAGCTACACAAAGGTCTATATGTGCTCTGCCCACCACGGGAAATCGAAACCCGGTTTCTGGTGGTATAAGTCCACAGACATACCGCTGTGCTACTGGGGGACAATCCCTACAGTCCAACTTCAGTCACATTCAATTTAAATTTTTTTTAAAGAATACCTAGTGTATACTTAATAAGTAAATGTAGAACGACATAAAGGTATTTATAATTCTACTGGCTACATTTATCTATAATTGTGTGTGAAAAGTGAGAAATAAGTAAGGTAAGGACTTTTCATACTTAAAATGTGTTTGTGAAACATTACAATATGCCGCGTTGGATTATGCAATAAAAATTAATAGCAATAAAGCTATGCGATTCAAAAATAATAACAATAATAAGTTATTCAGTTTCACTTCTCGTACTTACCTATAATAAAGAAAGCCTCAACAATGACGTCACATATGATTGTCTTATTTCTAGATGGACTTTCATTATTGTCTCGAAAGGCGGCGCTGTACGGAACAACAATAGCTACATAGAAAGTAGCAACAAGAACTAACCAATCCCAGCAAGTCTTAAATGCACCGTAGTGGGATACAATGAACTTGGATTTCTTTATGGCTGCTGTTTTGTATTCTGGAAGAGAATTTGAATGGAGGAGATTCTAGAAATAAGAATAAAATCATAATAAATTAATTATTCAAGAGTAATTAAAAACCACAACTTAAAAATAACGTTAGGAAACTCTATGATAAAGTTGAAACTATTAAATGCATAGTAAGTACATTGAAATAAGCAACTAAAACACAGCGACCCACCCATCAACTTTTGACTAATTGATATGAAACGCTGTATTATATTGTTGCGTATCTGCTTGTTTGTTAATTTCCCGTAAAAATTCTTTCCGAGAAACTTCAGCGATACAAGTCCTTTCTTAATTAAAACTAGTTTATTCTTTCTCGATACAATTTTGCAATACACAGAGTTTCCACAGTCACTTTAAACTTGACTACTTCTATGAACACACGCTATAATTCACAGCGATTCACACACTTTATATTACCGTCACTTCCGCTCGCTTTACTCAGTTATCTGTCTCTATATCTATCTATCTGCCATTATATCCCCGCTTTATTTGCCGGGCTTATATACAAAAAAGAGGGCGCCTAGAACAGACTACAGTTGCCAAGAAAAGTCAAGATCACGTCACGTGACTTCCGCTATCGTAACACTGCCCCTACCTTAGTATTGCTCGTCCCGAACAATAGTCACTTACATTAAACCAATAGATAATTAACAATAACTTAATTAAATGTACAGAACTTACAAACACAAAATTAAAATTCAACAAAGCCTCTTAATTTTACGGGCCGTATCTTCTTCCGTACTGCTGCTCTCTGTCCCGTTGGCTTCTGCTTCACGTGGGGGTTCATCTGTTCCATCAGGAAATGTCCTATTATCGGCAACAGTCACATCAGTGGTAGTAACTTCATCAAGGGCTTCATTGTTTCCCTTCTCAAAACCGAGTAGAGTTTCTTCTTCGATGTGGCTTTTTCAGCAGCATCATTTGTTCCATTGTTCACTTCGTTCCAACTGAAATGTCCTGGACCGTGATAACGTCAAAGCCTGTTGACATGCACCACATTCGACTTACCTCGCCGACCACATTTTATTCGGAAAGTTA